ACATTTTTCATTTCTGTTTTCATTTCTGATCACAAGTTCTTCAGTGCCTCTTCTCTATACATACCTTTTACGTTTCAGGAGGCTAACTGAAGCACCTCTTGATTTCCTTTTTTTGTTTGTCCGGGCTTTTCTGTACTCCTGTACAGTCATTTTTTGCGTTATTGAATACTCAACAAATGGCTATCTAGAATAACGTTCAAAGCCTAAATTCAAGAGATACACTGATAACCTCTGCCAGGAAAACTCAAATTCAATCCAGTTCTGATATAATATCCTTCTTGGGGGAAATAGAAGTCCAAGATATTATCATGTTCCGTTATATTACAACTCATAATTTTCTCTGCAGCAAGCGGTTAAGAAGTAAATTTCTGTGTAAACCTCGCCGCCTCCTTCTGGTTCATTTTATGATAATTTCTACATTTTATAGAAATATCGATTTTCAGGTATTCAAATCATACTCTATGGTTCATTATTGCCTTATTTGAATTGTTCAATTTTCCTTGTTTCCTGTTCTTTTGTTTCTATATACAGCCTTTAATATACCTTCAATATACCTTTAATGTACCTACATCATGCTTTTTTTGCAGCCCGAAATATATTGAGTACCTATTTCTATTTCCATAATTACATGTTAGTATCTTGTCATTATTGGTAAGTTTTTTGAATGAAAGAAGATGTAACTATTCAAATTGTTAACTTTCCCCAACAAGATTTCACCGAAAGAATGTTTCCAATCAACCATCCTCTACTTCGCTTACTGTTCGCGAATTCATAACCATGCATTGATTATTCCACCAAACAAGATTTAAAATATTCATAAAACTTTCCCCACTTGCCGATGTGGGAATCTGAGTCAGCATCAAATGCATACCCGCAGAGAAGACCATCGATCCCCATTTCTGTGAGCAAATAAAGGAGCGAAAAATTAATAAATGAGACGTTCTGTCGGAATACGTGCTTTCTCTTCAGTTTTCGCATTTTAATCGCTGTCAGCTTTACGGTCAAATGAGTACCTGTAAGTGGAATAGGGGCCTTTGTGAATTTTTCAGTTTGCCTGTTTTAAAAACGCCTTCAGATTGAGGCCATTGCGGTCATTGACTCCATAACCATGCGCCTTCTTTGCTCTACGAGTATTGTCCACTATATGTTCCTCGTTTCGATTGTGGTTTTTGTTTAGAGTTGGGTCAACGTTTATTAAATTTAGCTGATTCAAAGCTACTGACGGACTGGAATGCATGCTTTTGAGAGATTATGTGATTAATGGAGAATGCAAGTTGGAGGACAGCAACCTGAGCGCTGTAATGACTACGACTTCGGAGATGGGATCACCAGTGAAATAATCCGCTACATTCTTCATTTATTTGTCACTCCTTGTAATGATCCTACCTATCGTAATCACTTGTAGTATTGGATTTTTTTTTGGACAGATAGATCCTAAGGGCACATCGTGCCCTTAGGATCTATCGCGACGCGGTAGTGTGGGACTTTCACCTCATTAAAATCTCCTGTTCATCGCCAACGGTCCAATGTCCTGGCCGGTCTTTTTCAGACATTCATCAAGACGTTTAGCGGTATGTAGTAGAAGGCACTGTCCTAGTCTATTTGCCTCTATGTCCTTTGTCTCCATTATTTCCTGTATCATCTTCGCCCCTTCTTCCCACTTCTTACGAGTTTCTAGCATTTTCTTTATCAGGGTGTATGGACTTATGTAACTTCTGCCCTCATTCTCTGAGTCGCCCACCTTGGGAAGATGAATATAGTATGCTTTGCGGTGTCCCTGTCATTGCAGTATGGACAGTTCTCTGTATCAGTTTTCCCTATTCTTTTAGTATAGGTAGCGAATGCGCTATGTCCTGTTAATGCTTGACTAAGGAAGTAGTCGATAGTTTTGTGTTTGCATTTATACCATGTGCCGATGTCTGGTATTAGAAGCTTTGTCCATTGTCCCCTCTCAATATTTTTATCCCACCTTTTTTGCCACTTCTCTATCGTCTTCCTGCGTGCATTTTTCCTTCTATGTACATTTATTTCTGTTGCGTACTCAATGACTTCTCTTTCTTCCGACAGGAGACTTATAGGTGGAACGCCAGCGATCACTTGTAGTGTCTTCGTGGACACTGTTCTGTACCCACTGACAATCGTGAGCAGCATATTTCTTTGTGACCTTTCCATAATATCCGTGTATTTGTTGCTCCTCATAGCTTGGTGCCATAATTTCGCTTCATATAGCATTATGCTCTCGGCTATATTGTTCAGGACTACACGCTTTTGGTAGCTCGGGCCTCCAATGTTTAGCAGGATCCTTTGAAGTGATCCTATTCGCTCTCCTGCTTTCTTAGCCGCCATCTCTATGTGAGCCTTAAACGTCCCTCCCTTTTCCAATATCATTTCGAGGTATTTGATAGTTTTCTTTTGTTCAATTTGTACGTCGTCGATATTAAATTGTATGTCTATTCTTGCTCTGGGGCTAGCTGGAATTAGTGTTTCTGTTTTTTCCGGTGCCATTTCCAAGTGACTGCTCGTCATCCATACCTTTACTCTTATCAGTGTTTCGTAGTATTGGACTGTTTTTTCCGGTGCCATTTCCAAGTGGTTGCTTGTCATCCATTCCTTTACTCTTATCAGTGTTTCGTAGTATTGGACTTATTGTATAAAATCCCGCCGTAGTCACAATTGTAATACTACGTCATTTAACTGTCTATCAACACTACTAACACTAGCATTTATTCTGCGCTATCTGTTAGTAATTGAAGAAAAATATGATTTAGCTAAAATCATTTGTGACCACTCTCTATTGCTGTGTGCTTAGTTTGTCAAATTGATTTGGCAGCTGCTGTCACCAGATGCAGATTTCTCTCAAATATTGAATATTAAGGCAATTCCGAAAGGAGCTTGGATTCGGCCTCCTGCACGAAGAAGAGGCCTTCAGTTGCAGTTGAGAAAGATCGCAAGAACTCGCAGACATTTCTTTCTAAGAGGTTACTATGCTAGAAATAATCTTTTATGGAACCATCTTCTGTAAGATCGATAAAACTTTATTCTAGTTCCAATTAATTTGGTGAGGTAATCGAAAAAGGATCTCTGATTCAGTCTACTTTTGAATAATCTTCAAAGAAATTCTTTCTCAAGCTTTTTTGAAGGCATTCCAAGATTTCGTTTTCTTCAAAAAATGATGATAGAGTGTGAAATGCAGATGAATTCTCCTTCTGTATTTGTGAACAAAACAGGATCATCTTTCTCTTGAAGGAGTTAATTTTGTCACTGACTGGTGAAGGCTGTTGTTTTTGGACCTTGAAGTCCCAAGTTTGGTGTGTTGAGTTTGTCAAAAATGTCGGCTAGATAATCCAATCTTGACGACCATTCTTTATCGGCGAACAATTTTTTTATGTCATGATTTTTTTCAATAAAATACATAAAAACTCCTGATCTTAGTTTGAAGAGACGGTACAAAATTTTCCCCCGAAATAACCACCTCACTTCTGTATGCAGGAGTAAAATCTTGAAATTACCACCCATTTCTTCACACATCAAGGAGAATTATCTTGTGTTAAGGGCCCTAGCCTTTACGAAGTAATTGATTTCCACAGCATTTGATAGAAGATTTTCCGGCATACCTCCACTAGCTAATGCTTGTCGATGGATGACACAATGCATAGTTTTGCATTCAGGAGCAACTTCCTTTATTTTTGCTGCTAGTCCTGTCAAGCCATTTGTTCTTCAATATTATCAGACATATTCACTGTGTTATTTGGCTGCGGTATTTTTTTAAATTTCTTTGGCTGCCTTTTCTATCAACACGGCTTTGACCATATCGATTTTATAAGGCTTTCCATCTTTTGCAATTTTTAAACTAGCAAGGTATGATGCCTTTATCAAGTTAGTATCAGTAGTGACAAACTTCGTCAAACATTGGGTTTCTTTTTAAAAAAGATTTATTTTTCTTTAAAAAAATTCAATGGGCTTACCAATCAAATCAGGGTGCTCAGTAGTTTGGTATCGCAGCAATAAATAAGGCTTCGTGCTTAGGTTCGAAACATACAAGACATACAACACGTTGAGAAATAGAAATGTCACTGGTTTCAGCTCTATAAAGCCGTTCTGTAAGTAGCTTGAATCTCATTTACGATTGGCCGATGATTTAGGTTTTTCAGCACAATCCTTTGGAGCAGAAGAGGATGTCTGAAACCGTTTCATAATTCAGTTTTCTTATACGAAATCACAATTAATTATTACAACAACCACAACGGATCATTACAACAACATATAAACATTGCACAATCACTGGCAATATTGTGAGGCGGGAGAATGTAGGCATGGGGGAAGGGAGGGAAGAAAGCTCTCGTCGCCCCAACCCCGGCGCCATCACTCCTCACGCGTTCCACCTGAAACACTCACTCACCCGTACCACCCCTGCTCTAGTGTTCAGCCTAGGAAGCGTCATGGCTATTCGCAGTTTATCCGTCATGTCACGTCGTAGAATCATCCCGAATTTAACAAGAAAAATTCTTTTGAGAAGAATGTCTGGTCGAGGTGGAGATTGAACTCATGACCTTTCTGTCGTGACCTAAGCGCATTACCAGAACGCAAATTCACCGCTCACAATTCCTGTTAAATGAATACCTCTATGTGGAAAATTGCATTTACCGATTGAATACAACAAGATCCGGGTTGGAAGGCCGTGGTAAAATGGAACCTAAGGTACCACATATTTTGTCTGCAACTGGGGCAGACATAATCAGTGATATGTGCATTGACGCAGTCCTTCACGTAGTCAACGCACGTACCACTGAAGATGCCTGCTACAGTAGCAGATGAAACGTTTGGTTCAGAGGACTTGAATCAATTCCTATGTTATCCCGTGACCATTTCTGAGTTGGTTACGTTGATACGCTTTTCTGATTACTCATTCTTCACATTTGCGAATACTTCATACTTGTCACTGTTCCTCTTTTTTTATAAAAGATCAAAAATAGATGGAAGCTGAAAACAAAATGGAACGTAACTTATAAAATTCGGGCTGGCATAATCTGAGAGTAGATGGCTTATATAAATCCTTTGAATATGTATGCTTCTGAAGAAAGACAAAACTCGTTTATGAATATTTTCAATCAATTGAAGGTGACAATTCGCGGAAATAGATTCCTGTCGAACTGTCAGTAATGTGAATTTTCAAGTGACAGTTATATGAAAGTCGAACAGTTCTTAAATACTTTATCATGAACCTATTGTTTTTTCCAACAAAATTCAAGTCATGTCGGATAACCGAGTCCAAAAACTTCTTTTCTCAGAGTACAGCGAGTTCGAAGATATGGTACTAATCGAAAGCCCGTTTGCTCAAACCACCAAAGATGGTACAGGTATCCGTCAAGTACATTTAGGTTTAACTCCATCGAAATTAGTCTTAGCCACAGATGTTTTGCCACCAGTCGAATATGTCAATTTCACATATTCTCCCTTAATAGATCCAGAGACTGAAACCTTCGAACTCATCGCAATCTATCCAGTGGAATGCGTCAATCTCAGTGTATATAGAAGGAAGAAGACTCAGGCACTCAAGGCGAGGTTCTGTAACAATCGAGTGTTGTACTTTGAACTTGGGGGATTTGAGAAACGGGCAATGTTCTGGAATCTATGGTGCGAAAGGGTGAGATTTCTTTGTCCCGGAGAAAGTGGATCTTCGCGTTCTGAAACTTCTGTAGGAACTTCCTCCACCGGTAGTACCCTGTACCTCCTGGATAAAAAACTTGTAGCGGTGAATGGTATCAAACAACTTTGGTGTAAGTTCGGTCCCAATTCAACTTACGACACGAATTCAATTGCTGAGACGATTAACACGCAGGTGAAAAGCAGAAGTAAATGGACTGATAGACATCTATATTTAGGGAAAAATTATGAAAACGGTGATTACCAACCAGTCGTGAAATCACCTGTAACTGATGATTTTGTAGTTAAACTTACCCCTGAGAAATCAAAAATTGCCCTGAGGAAAAAATATCCTGAAATTATTACGTACATGGAAGAAAAAGATCTTAGCATTGGAGACACCGTTCAGGTTAGTACTAATTCGATATGATAATAAATGCAATACGTTTATGTAGTTTGGAGTTTGAAAAGTCAATTTTAGAACGTGTCATTCTTTCTTGAAGAAAGGTCTGTGTAAAACTGACCTACCCTCTTAACCTATAATAATGCACGAAGATCCTCATTATATTATTGAACATTATATTTTAATTTTTTTCTTTCGTAGAAAGTAATTTGGACGAAATTTAGCGAAACTGTAAATGTTTTGTTGAATAATTGAATATTTTTCAGCAAAAAATAAAAAAGTTTCGTCGATCTTTGTTGATTATATTTTCCAACCTAACCTAACCTAACCTAACCTAACCACAGTTTTTCACATCAACTAAATTGTTTGATTAGTCTAACCAAAATTGTATTTTTAATTCATCCAGTTCAAAGATTTTTTCAATTATTGGAATGTAGGCTTTCACGGCTGGCGTCAATATTTTGGTTGGTTTCCGGATCTTGCCATGGTCTTCTTTGGTAACAAACTCCAAATGTTTCAACTGCGGCAGTCATCTTCTTCCTGTTGAAGTTCTCTTGGTGTTTGTGTATTTCTATGACTTCCAAACTCGAATCCTCGGTATTATCGAAAAGGATCTTGTGTTCCCCACCGGGCAGTGCATGTTCAGCGACTGCAGACTTGGTCTGTTCCAATCAGCAACTCCGCTCGTTCTCGACTAGGCGGGTACCAATGCTTCTTTTCGTCTATATAGACTTTACCACAGTTACATGGAATCCTGTAAACTCCCGCTCATTTGAGTGGATCTCTGTTGTCTTTTGCTGATCTCAGATACTCTGATATTTTCGTCATTGGTTTGAAGACGGTGATAATTTTTTCCTTCATCAAAATTTTCCCGATTCTTTTGGTGACACCTTCTATATATGGCAGATATACAGAGCCTTGAGGTTGCTCCCCACTGGTGTAGCACGGATTATGTCTTTTCTGTCGTAGTCGTTCGTTTGTAACATAGTTTTTAGGTGTTTTATTTCGTCTGTTCACTAGGGTGTTGCTGACGGTTCGTTTCTGTTTTGGATAATGGTTAGGATTGAAACATTTCAAGCCAAAAGAAATGAAGGAGTTTGGCTTGAAATATTTCAATCTTTAGTTGTAATTGTTCAATTTTCAATTTATCGCTTAACTTTTATTCAATTGTAATTTCATTGAAGGATTTTTTTGCATAATATAATTGTTAGTTTCAGCTTTTCATTTAAATTTTATTTTTTCTTTAAGGAATTTCAAATCATAATATATGATATCAGACAATGGAAGTCCGAACTGATGAAATTCACCATGAAACATTGTCAAACCACCTTCAAACAAACGGATAACGTATAATTCTCTCCCCGTCTCATGTTCGGTTTTTGACCCGTTTGTATACCAGATGTTTCGGCCGAGCATGTTATCAGGTTGACTATTCCGCGTAGGTATCTCATGTCGAACATGTTTAATGATAGTATATCTATACACTTATCCAAAATTGCTGTTTTGTTCGATTTCTTGTAACTCAATTAATTTTCCTGTCTGAATTAATCCGCTGCTGCTTTCCCAATGTAAATGAGAAAGATTCAAGAGTGTTTACAATACAGCTGTTGGTGTAGTTTTCATTGCTTTCGTTTTTCCTAAACATTCAAGTTTTCATACTTTGTCCACTCCTCTGATAGAGGTCGTTTGTTCCATCTTTGGCCACCAGATCATAATTGCATGCAAATGTTATCATGGAAATTACCAAAGAGTTATAGGTTCAAATATTTGAAACTGGAATATTTCCTATGCAAAAGACAATTGTGTGAAGATGCCACATCACGTTTGGTTTCAGCTCCAAATGCCGTAAGTGCGTCTGGCCAGCATCAACACTTCTCTTGTTTTTCTTTTAACTCTTTCTAGATTTTGGTTTTGGGTGACTCTCGGATATTTGATTTCCTCAGATAAATGCATTTTTTCACCTAGAAATGTTGGATTTTAAGACCTCTGTTTTTGCCCTCTTGGTGAATGTTAGCAAGGCTGATTTCTTGGGTCTATTAGTTTCTTTTTGATAACTTTTGAAATGCTCTTTCAACTGAAAACAAAAAAGTTGAAACAAAAATTCATCTAACTCCATCAAACAATAAATCTTGGCACCTCCAAAACATTCACTTATAAACTTTTAAAGTTCGTGACTTCTAGGTCAACCGATTTGGATACGGTATAAATGAAGGTTGCCATACAGGACTCTTCCTAACAGTAGAGGACTATGCTGTTCCACACAGATACACCCCGATGGTACATGATTTATCCCCAACTGAGAGTATATCAGCAATAGTAAACTATGAACAACTAGCTGAATCGGCGTTATTAGTATGGGAATTTTACAAAGTTGCGGATCCTGATAAGTACAAAATAAAACATAGGAGAAGGTACGGCCTAGCCACGAAACCTTTGTTTTTGTACGGGTTTGGAGAGTGGGCCCTTTCGAAGGGGGCGAAGTACTCTCTTCATCTGAAGAGAGCAGTATCCGAGGTTACTCTGAGTTCAAGGTTCAAAGAATTGGAACTGGGATATGCTTCATCCAAAAAACAATTGACAGCATCACTATCGCAGCAAGAGTTGGACACGAATAGTATCCAATCACCAAAGTCTCCCGCCATTCTTTTTTGGACTCCGGGGTACAGGTATGTAGGCACATTGCTTATACAGTTGTATTTTCAATTAAAAAGCCTCTGACTGCGTGTTAAGAATTGACATTTGATGTGAAAACCATTTTCAATTGGATTTCATTTGGAGCAAATATATTTTCGGCTACTCTGTTATTTGTTTTTAGTTAGTTGTCATGTTCAAGCTGTTTCCATCAGTGAATATCAAAAATGTCAAATAGAAAATGAATACAATAAAAACAGCAAATGAAACTCTGAAACAGACAATAAAAACATTCAATGCATATGAAAATCTATATTAATGACAAATACCCTCACAGAGTAGGCAATTCATAGAAAAGAGACTACTTTCAAACAGCAAATGAAACTCCATAATATACAATACCGACATCATTTACATACGACAGCATACATTGATGACAAATATACTAATCAACAAATATCTTCATTCCATACGGCTTATTCTAGTGGTATTAATCGAAAATGTTGAATACAAAGTTTAAAAACCAAACTTATAACCGAACTTATTCCAGATATTTCACCTGATATATGTTCCTAAATAATCATTGGTATTTGACAATCTTGATTTTACCTTCACAAAGCTTTCTTAATTTTTTCTTAATTTTTGAATGAAAAAATCAGATTATCAAAAAATTTAACCAAAAATGTATATTCATCATGAAAGATAAAACTTTACTCTTAATGTGTTCTTATGATCAATGAAAATTTTGTTGTTTACAGAATAAATGTGAGATATTTCAAAAATGTTTGTCAAGGAATCGAAAAGTTGAACCCAAAACCGATCTTGAGGAATAGAACAATTTTTGAACATCTGTCAGATATCACCCGTGTTATTCGACTGCATCTAGTTCGGTTTGTGACATATGAGTTATGAAGATTATAGATTCTTCGAAAGAATTGATATGTTCTTCACCTCTTTTAGGTGCACAAAAACAGCCACTATTTAGCTTCTTCATCAAGATTATTCTGAATGAAATTAATCCCATCTACAACTAATAAAAAGGTGCTTTGAAATATTTCTTGTTAACTGTTGCAGATTTGGAATTTCATTATCTAAAAATCAGAAGACAAATGAATGACGTATTGAAAATACCAAGACCTGAAAATTAGTTGAAAAGAGTGAAAATCATATCAATGTTTAGCTCATTCCTGAAAATTTTTACAGACCATTTACAGGTTGATTGGGATTATTTTTCTTTTTTTTTTGATAGCGGGTTTTCCGGTACAGTGAAAAATAGCTAATTATTCTACAATTTTCACTTTTTTTTCATGAAACATATGCATTTGGGTCAAATATTCATGATTCTTTACCATTAACAATTTATATAAGAAACTCAGTGAGACTCTATGTCTATTCATCTATTCCTCAATACAATCACTTAGATTTTATATTTGTAATATATAGTTTTATGAAGATATTCTGTTGTTTTTATATTCTCATCAAGTTATTGTTATACAGGGTGATTCAAAAGTACTTTGACAAACTTCAGGAAGTGATTCCTCACAATATTCTAATATGAATTGTCCAAATAAATAAATGTCCGGAAACGCTTCGTTTCCAAGATACAGGATGTTGAAGTTTCATTTTTATTTTCGTTTTTTTCAAATAACTTTTGAAATACTGAACTTAATTGAACGAAACTTGGTAATAGGAGGTTTTTGAGGTGTCGAATTCGAACTTGATGTTCTTATTGCTCTTACTCGTAGGGGCGCTACCTACACTTATTTTTCTTTTTTAAAGATTCATAACTTTTTTGGGCGTACTTCTAGCATATTTTTCAGTAAGAAAATCGATTCCTCTATCATATCTACGTAAATAAGCTACCCTTGTTACTAGTCGCTGTAAGCAACCGTTTTCTAAATATTTGGACTTGAAAACTTCAAGTCGATAATCGATAATGTTGAAGTTATTACGAATATTTTGCTTTTTTCACGAGAATGCTTTGGAAATGAAGTTTGTCAAAGTACTTTTGAATCACCCTGTATAGTGAAAAGTCACCTTCATGTCAGGCAGGTTGGAGCCTAGGTCCCTTACCCTTTTAGCTGATTTTTGATTTTTATATAGTCTTTTCCTGTCGCAGGTACAGGCCCAGAACGAGAAAAGAATTATATGAAGAGCGTACGAAACAACTGAAAAAAATTACGGAGTATCACGAAACCTTCACTAAACGAAAGAGAAAAAAACGTAGAAGAAAATTCTTTAAAAAGTTCTACCATAGTCATAACAAGGATACTAAAGACACAGATGAGGATTCTATCGATGAACCTTTCCGTAAGAAAAGCAGAAAAAAGAAACACAGTTTCATCTACAATATGTTTAGTAGCAAAATCGATGATATTACAGATATAGAACGCAAACGAAAGCCTCAGGAAACTGCTCATCAATGTCTCAAGCGTATACTGATCGTTGACAGGAGTTTGACTGCATGGGATTTTGATTCCACTAATTTGGCAGAACAACTTACTATGATAGACAGAGACCTGTTTCTGAAAATACAACCTTCGGAGCTGAATGTGTTGGTATGGCAAGGGTCCTCAATTAACGCTCCCAATATAACAGCCATTTTGGAGTTTTCTCAAAGAATCAGCTCTCTACTGGCATCCGAAGTGCTCAATAACGATTCGGAGAAGTCTAGAGCTCGACTTGTTGCCAGATGGATAAACGTAGCCAATAAATGTCACAGAATTTCCAATTTCCATTCCTGTAGAACAGTACTGTGCGGTCTACAGAGCCCTGCGATATACAGGCTGAAAAAAACTTGGGCCTATATTAGAAAAAAGCATGCTAGTAAATACCAAAATTTCGAATTTTTGTGCAGGTTGTACAGAGATCCTAGATTAGCCACTTACCAGAAGACTTTTTTCATATTATCCCAGAGTTCTCCGTTCCTACCTTGTGTCGGTGATGTCTTTAGTAGATTACTTGGCAAAGTTCCCGAGTACATAACATCATCTTTAGGGCAAAACCTATCAAGAACTTCAAGTATTGAAACTACAAAATCCTTCAGAACTAAATCGACTGAGCTTATTGAAAATATGATCAAATGCCCCACCATATTCAATAAACTATTGAAAGTTTTCACGCTGACTGATTCCAAATCCAATCAACCAAAAGTGACAATGATTCGTGAAAGATGCACACAACGACGAACCCCTCCTAAATTTAAGGGGTTGTACGAATACTACAAGCCATTTGATGATTACGAGGACTCTAGGATGAACAATTTGAAGGCAACGAAGCTATTTTTAGAAAAATGCCAGTTAGGGGCTATAAATTATAATTTCGGCATAAACGAATTGGCTAAAAGTTATCTTCTGAAAGCAAGATACCAAGAGGATAGGGAAAACTTTTTTAATTCCCTTAGGATAGAGTCATCCCATAATTGTTACGAATCAAAACAGTAATAAAGTGTATGAAAAATAAGTATTTATTTCATGAAGATGTGAGAGATGAAATATGTTAAGTGAAATCGATTTTCAATTCATGAGTGACATCTTTTTATCATCACCTCAACTGTCGTACCTTTTCTCTTGCCTCTTGGTAACCATCACCCTTGAAATTTGAAAAGGAAAAGTACTGAGTATATCATTGAAAAAGTGATTTAATAAGTTTTTGCACATTATAGAAAATACACACTGATAATTTTAGAGGTTTCTAATGTGATGCGAATAAACACATTTTTTTTGCGCTTGCATTGCAAACGCTGGCTGAACTCTACAACCCATAATAGCAATTTTTTATCCTTCACTTTTTGAGAGGAATGATGGCTTATTTACGAAGCGATATCAGGCAATAACCCTTATCCAGTTAGGTACTTTAAATACATAGTGCATTCAATATAGATCAATATGGCCCTCCACAACATGTAATTTAAATGAATATTTTCGAAGATATTACAGATTAAAAATGCAGGGACATAGTGGTTGCGGCCGTACCGGCCGAGGAGCCGGCGGCACGTCCCTATAAATAGCGCGTCGGAGGCGGCGCTTCGCCCTATATCAGCCTTATAGCAGCGATCGTACGAGAGACCTGCCCGGCTCCGCATCCATGCGGAGCCGGGGAAACTGTTTCTATATTTTTTATGAGTGTTTCAAAGGTTCTTCCAGATTGACCTATTTAAAATATTGCACATGAACTACAAATCAATTAATGAACTAGTGATCTATCTGACACCAAAGTCTTGTTTGGTGTCAGATAGATGCATAATAAAAATAACAAAGACAAGACTTTGATCTCAGTGGTTTATGTCCGATGTTTCACATAGGTCGAACTGAAAAAATATCTGAAGCACGTATCAAAGAACATAGAAACAGTTTCCACAATGGAAAAATAAATTCAAAGTATGCTACTCACCTTCTTACAGAGGGACATGATTCCAACCATGAATTTAAAACCATTCATATCCAGAAGAAAGGTTTGAAACTTGACCTTCTAGAAAGTATGGAAATGAATGAGTACAAAATTTCCCAATATATAATGAACGATCAAATTGAGTTGAATGGATCTTAATTGATTCATATGTTCTTACCAGACAATCATGCTTTATCGCTCAAAAAAAATAATGTTTATTGAATTGTTTTTCACAGAATTTCCACTAGTAAATAAGTATTTTCATCTGTATTTGTCTGATTTTACTAGTTAGGAAAATGATTGTATCTGATCTTTTCAGCTATTCAAACCTAGATTAGAATTAATTATCTGATCGGAACGTAGATCATAGTACCTAATCTTTTTTGAATATAGACTGTTTCTACACTAGTGAATCAAAACGTGTTTGAGAAAGCTATTATATAGCGGAATACGTATCGCGGTCATAGTGAAAATGAAAATAAATCTTATCAGTGAGTTTTGATATGGATTTTCATCAAGTATCGGCTAATTTCATACAACAATTAAATTCATTGTGTTTACTTTTCGCGAATGAATTAATGTTTTTGTTCCTTGGGTATTCAAAATGGTTTACGATCCAATTGTTCTCTTATTCTCTGAGTGATTCTGAGTCTGAATGATGAATAAACTGGTAGATTCATTAACAATGAAGAACTCTTGATTTAAGTTCACTTGAAAGGTTAAATCAAAAGTACTGTCAAAGTTGCTTTCGTCCAGTTATGGGATTCCGTCTGTACTGCCTCATAATTTATATTGCATACCAGCCTGACTGATACTTTACAAGTTCCAGTTGTAACTTCAGATATGACCAAGCCTTATTCAGTTTCACTGAGACCACGTGAAATACTTAAATCGATAAGAACAGATAAGATAAGAATTGATTTCAAATTTTTCAAACGTTAATATTACTGGAGTTTTTTATTGAAGATGATCACTTGGTGATCGAAACACGTGTCGAGGTGTTAAAATAATGGTTTGGTGTTGGGAAAACTCCAGTAATATTCATCACTACACCAAAGGTTCCAAACAGTGCATCACAAGTCTCCAAACCTGTTGGAGTAATATATCATTCTACGTCAGGGAGATTAATTAACACAACCGGCTCTACCAAGTATCTAGTATGTACACACCACACAGGCGTCAACTCGATAGGGGCGGCCATATCGCATGATGAATGACGTTGAAATTTATTTCTGTAATTTTCCTAGAATATCAATTTAAGGTTACTTGTTTTTTATGATACCATTTTCTTCTATTTATTTCTTCATATTCGTACCAGTCCGGAAGATGTTTCCATAAATGAATAGTATGGGAGGCGGCCAAGTGAATCTCGCACACGGGCGCAATCACTTCTAAGGAAGACCCTGGTAATTACTGTATGTTTCAGTTGTTGATTATTCCAACATCTCGATCAGTGTTGTAAATAGAAATTGGCTATTATGGACTATGTGTCCGAGGGTCAAAAAAATCAGTGTGAAGGATGCCACATTTGGAGTGCGGAAGCGGAATAGGTGAATACAAAGGAAAAAAATCATAATGAATCATTCACCTATATTGGAAATGCACATATTTTCAATAGTTTCGCATCTCTACAGCTTGGTATCGCGAAACATGTAAGGACAAATGCGAAGGTGGTGATGTTTCATGCGGAAGTTCCGCACTTGCAGAGGCTGAGGCAAGATTCCGTTACAAACCTAATTTGGGAGAGTGATCGGCGTTTGGCAGACTCTAGTGCCATATTCCTGTTGTAGGAGTAACACCTCACTATTCAACTGTTAGACATTTCTGAATGTCTAACAGTTGACAGCTACAGTTTGAAAGCTACAGTTTGACAAAACAAAAGAGATCATATCCACACCACAAAATCCAAAACGTTTTGAATGAGGTAAAGCTGGATCTTTTAGAGGTTTTTTCATTCTCTTGCATTTTGGAATAATGAATTCTAGCCATTACCATTATTTATATTATTGTTTCAATCTCATTTGAATCATATATCATAATATAATGTTTGTTCGACTCAATATCACAAATGATAAGAATTTGTTGGAGAATTTAAAATAAAATTTTGATATTGATACCTATCTATTTGGAAAAATGCTAAATTGGAAACAAATTAAAAGAACTAAAATGGATACAAACTTGTAGAGATTCAATATACGTTCTATCTTGAGGTAGAAAACAATCAATGAAAAAATAACTCAGAAAATCATTTGCTTTCCTAGTTTCAATGCCCGGGGGTTCACCTATAAAACGAACATATTTCTCGCTGAGTTTATGTTTTTGAATGACCTTCTAGTGAATGTTATCTTTGATAGATAATTACCAGCCGACAATGCAGAGTTGTTTTCACTAGAGGGTATTTACTGACCAAGTCTGACTCAAGTGATTTTTAAAGTTTACAATTTGAATGTGTACGTGTCCTGGTTGCTGCAACAAAAAGTTAAGTTGATTGTTTAAATTATTTCTATAAACTTAGGCGGGAAAGACCCGAGATATGTAGATATCCTGATTTTAGACATGCAATTACTAAAATTGACTAGAAATGTTGCTGCTTTTGAATAAAATGTAAACAGGGAAATCATCCAACTCCTCGATTACTTTCAATTGACATTGGGTTGTTGTTTTGCAATTGAGCGCAACTTTTGACTTTCTTTAGAAAAAAGGAGACAGAAGTTGTCCTCAAAGGTAATAAGGATACTTCCTTCAAAAATCAAAATGTATTTTTCAGATATATAGACTAACTTCTTAATAAGAATTGTTACTGACAGGTTGGATACCTCAATTTTATTCAAGAGAAGATATATTTCTAGACATATTTAGTAATATCCCCTCTTTATTTTAATTATTGTAGAATTTTTATGTGTTGTGAAACGAGTCCTCCAGAGAGGCATCAGTTGTTAGAGACATCTAACTACTTGGTCGGGTACCGCTAGGCATCTAATCAAATGCACAATGCGCTCATGCAATGTTGTGTCAAACTCTCTCTGTCCATATACCCCTTAGAATATTATGCTAACTGCGGAGAGTATTCACGCAGATGCCAGTAAACAAATTATAGTACGAATTCAAGCAAGAAATTGGTCTGTAATTTTTAGGAATATATGAATCTCCGTTTTTAGGAATAAAAAATAAGTCGTAAGCTGCTCCCCGTTCAGTCAAGAATTGAAAATTCTGGCTTGGTGACGGTTGTTATTTAATAGAATTCTTCCATCAGTAATTATTCAAGAGTCCCAAAGGGTTCTTCGAATTTTTTTGGATGATTATCGGCTCGCGAGCTCATTTTGTTGGTGCTATTGAAACTTTATACAGAAAGCTCCCAACTACGTTAGTGCTAGTGTGTCTAGGTTGAGTTTTTAGGAATGAAAAAATAAGTCGTAAGCTGCTCCCCGTTCAGTCAAGAATTGAAAATTCTGGCTTGGTGACGGTTGTTGTTCAATAGAATTCTTCCACCAGTAATTATTCAAGAGTCCCGAAGGGTTCTTCGAATTTTTTGAATGATTATCGGCTCGCGCAGCTCATTTTGTTGGTGCTATTGAAACTTTATACAGAAAGCTCCGAACTACATTAGTGATAGTGTGTCTAGGTTGAGTGGTTGAGGGTGCTCATAAATGTTCCATCCGATCTGTTGTTGACGGATTATCCACAAGTAGATGCTCTTGCAATTAGCTAGAAAAATTCTCGCAGAATTTGGCATTCTGCGATACTTCTTGCTCGCCTCACTAGTGATTTTACAGACGCCACTAGCACTTGTATCCGTCCAAGGTAATGTTGCTTAATGGTAAGCAACATTCTTTGACTTGAAGTGTAATGAGTATGTTTTAGTTTAGCGATTAATCGCCTCAAGGTAAGCGGTAAAGGCCTAATTATCTCATACTGGATACACGTGTGTTGTCACGATCTTAGTTTACAGCAATTTGATTGGCAATTAATTCTGCGCTCAATGGTACCCTGACTTTTTATTTTTTCATGAGCATTCTCCAAAAAATTCGTTCTGAACTTACATGTAATTAGAATTTGCCTGTCCTGAGATGCATTATTATATTGTAAGAGTAGGTGGCACCGTTCCAACCCTTGGATGACAGGAATGGATATATCACGCGTGGGATTTTTATTTTTTAGCTATTGTCCTTTTACAAAATAAAATTTAATTTGCGAGAAAGACATTACAAACATGACATTTATTTACACTCATCTTATTAACTGTTAGAAATGTCGTCTATTTTGCTTTAAACAGTGATAACGTCTGTTTTCGAACTCCCCTCTAACATAACCGAAAACTGCACTAGGAATTGATTGGCATGCTGCTGTTATTCGTCATTCGGGTTCTTCAATATCAGAAGGTTGTGTTTTATAAACAACGAATTTAAGATGTTCCCAAAGAAAGAAATCTAAAGGTTCTTATAGTTCGGCAGAGCCGTACTCTTACCATCTGACCTGAAAGACCACTCACCATACAAACTATTAAACAAACAGTTATCCCAGAGGCCATTCAACTGATCCCCTTCTGCCAATTCACCTATACGGAAATCTCTCGTTTAACCAATGTCGGACGGAAAGAAAATAATGAGGAGGAGCACCGTCCTGTTGGAATTGTAACAGGTCCCCTTGCAAAAGTTCATTACCTTCTACATCCATTTGAGTTTCTAGCTCGTGAGTTATAAGCATTTCGAGGTACAGATTGCCAGTAGAGTTTTCCTCCAGGAATAATGGACCAATAGTGGCATTTCCAAGGATACTAGCCCAAACAATAACTTTTTGTAGGGGTTATGAAAGCCCTTCCCGAATAATATGTGGGTTTTCGTCACTTCAATAGTGACAATCTGGTCTATTAACATCATCATTCAGAAAAATGAACACTCATCGCCGAAACAGATGTTCAACAGAAGGTTAGGGATGGTTAGGTTAGGTTAGGTCTAAAGTGAGTGGGTCTATTCGACCCTCCACCGCAACCCGCAAGGGTTTATTGTAGTTCACACCTTTTCACCAAATAAACCCAGCTTCTTAACGAAGCCAATTAGTTTGTATGGTGAGTGGTCTTTCAGGTCAGATGGTAAGAGTACGGCTCTGCCGAACTATAAGAACCTAATTCGGTCCCAAGCGGGGCAGGCACAAAGTATATGCTTTGCTGTTTCATCATTTTCCAAGCAGAGGCAACACATACTGTCCTCCGATAGTCCAAGTCTCTACATATGATGATTCAAATGACAGTGACCTGTAAGAAGACCTGTTAGATATCGTAGTTCGTCCCTACTGTAGTCCAACAACTGTTTGGTATCAAGCTTCGAAGGGTGAATAAACGCCTTGGAATGAGCCAATCCTGGAAAATTCTGCTAGAAATCCATTAATTTTCTTGCCATCTAGGTGTTAAAAGTTTATTTGGCAAAGCCTAAAGTGATGCCAATGACAGATTCTGGTCCGATGAAGCTGCTTGCAGCACCCTCCTTCGCAAGGGAGTCAGTAGCTTCGTTGCCTTCCAGGCCAATATGACCAGGAATACAGAACAGAGACAATCTGTTAAGTCTTCCTATCGAGGAGAGTCATTTTTGGCAATTTGCTACCAATTTAGACGTTGCTCGGTAGGAGCCAAGAGCTACCAACGCCTCTTGACTGTCCGAGAATATTTTTATTGACTTGTGTGTGAGGTTGGATGTATCCAATCTCTCCGCATATAATTCAATAGCGTAAATTTCCGCTTGAAATACAGTCGCGAACGTTCCTAGACAGGTTTCTGGGTGTGCGACTAAAACACTTGCACTAGTAACCGGAAGGTGTTTTTGATCCATCTGTGAACCAACAACTGTCTGTTTGAAAATCTGTTTTTCCGTTAATCAGCTGTCGCCCCCATACGAACGACGACTCTCAGGAGTCTCAGGAGATAAACTTGTGCGAGCTAAGGACTAACGAGGTCTTACCTTTCAACTTGTGATTCCTAACACGCTTCTAATATTTCCTTCTCCAGGAGGATCCAGTCCTCTCTACTCGGGGATAGTACTTCAAAAGGCAGTTCGTAGTTGACAGGTGGAGGCATAAAGTCAGGGGTCATTTCCAGAATGCTGTGACTTCCAGCGTCAACCAACAGTCTGTTGCACTCTGCATTAAATTGATTTGTGCAATTGGCAATGTACACAAGTGTGTATGCAGTTCATCTAACCTCTCCCTCCAGAAAAATGTGGAGAGGAGGTAGATCTAGGAGGATCTCCATGACCGCTGACGGTGTGGTTCTGATGACACCACTGATAGCCAGACAAGCTTGTCTCTGTAAGCCAGAGAGCTTCGCTTGGGCCGTTATCTGTAAAGTTTTCGGCCACCAGGCAATTGCACTATGAATGATCATGGGTCTAACAATCATCACATGAAACCAGTGGATTAGTTTGGGATCTAAACCCCAAGTTTTACTACAAATTCTTCGACATGTCCATAGAGACAGTCTGACTCTGTGTAAAACTTTTTCCAAGTGAGCGTTCCAGGTGAGTTTTTTATCAAGGATAATGCCATAATATTTCACCTCCATTCCAAATGGAATGACCTCCCATTGAGGGAAAGTGGCGATAGATCGTCCAATTTTCTCCAATTTTCTCCTCAGTTTTGCTGGGGTTGACAGACATCTGCTCCCTCAGGCACCAACTGTGAACAACGTCCAACGCGCTTTGGAGAATATTACAAGGATGACAGGATGGACCTTGCCAGGATGACAAGGTCATCTGCATAAGCTTGCAGATCAACTTTTCTTCTGTCGAGGACATCAAACAGACTATCCAACAGAAGCGACCACAGAAGAGGAGATAGTACCCCACCATGAGGGCAGCTCCTGGTGACCCTGAACCTAATGGCCTCGCCTTGAAGAGTCGTAGTTACAGTTCTGTTTACTAGCGTGGCATAGATCCAGCCAGTTATGGTCGATTCTATACCCTTCCTAGCCAGAAACAATCCTATAGATTTAGGTAGTGCATTGTAAAATGCTCCTTCAATATCAAGAAATACAGCAACAGCATTCTTATTGTTGTCAAGGGTTTGGGAGATTTTCTCAACGAGGTTGTTTAATGCTGAATCTGTCGATTTGCCTTCTGATAAGCATACTGGTGGTTGTTCAGGAGAAATGCATATAATACTACCCTCCTGATGTGTCCGTCCAGTATCCTCCAAGTCCTTTCAACAGGAAATATGTATGGATGATCAGTCGTACCGATTATGGATGGTTCTGACTCGATGAGACATGATTTCATAAAATTCTATTCTCCCATCCTAATCATCCTCGTGAAGCTCTTGAAGAATCTGCATTTTATATGGATGAAAATTATGCACTTTCAATGCTTTTCTTACAGTCTCGCGTGGCATTCCTGTCTGTTCTGATACTGATCGTAAGGAGCTCGTGGGCTCTGCAGCAGATGTTCCCAAAACTTCAATTTGAACTGGGGTTATTTTTTTTTATTTGTCACTTGA